TCCACCTGCCTCAGCCTCCCAAAGTGCTGGGATTACAGGCTTGAGCCACCACCACCAGCCCACATATTCTTCTCTGTGTTTAAAAATATAATCCTTCATAAATGTAAAACTGCTCTTAGCTCACAAACCACACAAAATAGCCCTGTGGGCCACGGCTTGCCAGCCTGCTGTACTTTGATGGAATGTGTCTGCGTGCCTCTACGGTGCCCTGTGGTTACAAAGGAGCCGTGGGAAGGACGGCCCCAGCCTACGCAGAGCAGGACGCTCTTACTATTCCACAGCTGAAGATGTCCACTCGCTTCGTGAGCTGCCCCACCCGGATGAAATCCTCTGGCAGATATGCGGCTGATGCCTGGAACAGGTGGGTCTTCATCATGGTGTATTTTGACCTTTTGTTGACAGGACACAGGTGAGCCATTGGGTGAGCAAGCTTGGGGGTGAGATTTTGGTCTAGCAAGACATTAGAGCTGTGGAAACAAAAGGAGAGAGAACCTTCTCATTTTAAGCTGGATAACCACAGGTTGCCATGGAGACCCTCTGGGTAGACGACAAAGCGGTAGAGCAACATCAGCTCCTGCAAGTTGGGGTCTCCAAAGACCCTCAGCCTGGAGCTTCTGAGCCATCCCTGACCAGGGAAGAGAGGGCATCAGGAGCACACTCCCTCCAGCAAATGGAGATGGAGCTCCAAATTAGTCTTGCTGCCCCAGGAATGTGGCCAAAGAGGTACAGCCTCCCCGATCCCCACAGACGCCAACCCTGATTATCCTCAGCCTGCCAAGCCTATAGGCTGTGCTGACTCAGTCTCTTCTGCAACTGTTCAACCCCCAGCTCTGGCCCGGCTGACTCATGTCTAAGTGGCCAGCATCCTTTTTGACTAAACCTGCCTGGATCATGGGAAGTAACAAGAACAACAAAAACAAAAATTCATCCTGGCCGTGCGCGGTGCCTCACACCTGTAATCTCAGCACTTTGGGAGGCTGAGGTGGGTAGATCACCTGAGGTAAGGAATTCAAGACCAGTCTGGCCAACATGCCCAAACTTCATCTCTACTAAAAATACCAAAATTAGCCAGGTGTGGCAGTGTGCACCTACAGTCCCAGCTACTCAGGAGGCTGAGGCAGGAGAATCGCTTGAACCTGGGAGGTGGAGGTTGCAGTGAGCTGAGGTCATGCCATTGCACTTTAGCCTGGGTAACAGAGTGATACACTGCCTCAAAAAAAAAAAAAAAAATCATTTGACCAAGTCATCTAACCCACAGGAGCAAATGCTGAGAATATCTCAAAAAGGGGAAAAATATAAGCCACATGTGTACAGATATTTAGTGCAGGCCAGGTATGGTGGCTCATGCCTGTAATCCCAACACTTTGTGAGGCTGAGGTAGGAGGATCACCTGAGCCCAGGAGTTTAAGACCAGCCAGGGCAGCATAGCAAGGCCTCATCTCTGCTAAATCAAACCAAATTAGCTGGGCAGGGCGGTGCATGCCGTGGTCCCACCAGCTACTTGGGAGGCTGAGATGGGAGGCTGCGATGGGAGGCTGCAGTGGGCCGAGGCTGTGTCACTGTACTCCAGCCTGGGCAACAGAGCAAGGCCCTGTCTCAGAAAATAGCTGTGTGTGTGTGTGTGTGTGTGCATGTACATGCATACATGTGTGTATATTTACTGTAGAACTAACTCCAAAAAACAATATTTTAAAAAGTAGACACCAAATTCCAATATTCACTATTAGGAGTGGTTAAGTAAATTATGGACAAATTCCTTTAAGGAAAGACTAAGAAGTCACTAAAAAACATGACACGCCCTACAATGTAGGGCAATGTTTACTATGTTAAAATGAAGGAGTAAAAAATGGGATGTCAAGTGGTACCCAGGTGCTACCTTGAGACTAACGATTTGTGTGGTCAGGAGCTGAAAAAAGAAACAAAACCTAGAGGCCAGCTGATAAGTCAGGGTGGGGGTAGGTCAGTGGTGACCTCTCTCACCCTTTCATTTCCTTGCCTGCTATTATAATTATTGGTGCAATCAAATAAAAACTGGGGGAGAGGGCCAGGCACAGTGGCTTGTGCCAATAATTCCAGCAGTTTGGAAGGCCAAAGTGGGTGGATCACCTGAGGTCAGGAGTTCGAGACTAGCCTGGCCAAAATGGTGAAAACCCTGTCTCTACTAAAAATACAAAAATCAGCTGGGCATGGTGGCACGTGCCTGTAATCCCAGCTACTCAGGAGGCTGAGACAGAAGAATCACTTGAACTTGGGAGATGAAGGTTGCAGTGAGCTGAGAGCTGAGACAGCACCACTGCACTCCAGCCTGGGTGAAAAGAGTGAAACTCCATCTCAAAAAACAAAACAAAACAAAAAAATCTGGGAGAGTGAAAAGAAGAAAGGACTTCCACAAATCAAATGGAAAGAGAACTTTTGGGAAATATGAGTTCTGTGTCTCTGGAGCCAGTTCTGCCAGATTTTCTGATATCTTCGGAATCCCTCTCTATCCTAACCATCCTCAGACAAGGACCTCTCCCTGTCACATACATGGCACCGAGATGCTGGGGTGCAGGCCTAATCTGTGGGAAGCCTTCCAGACAAGATGCTAACACCAACAGCTACACAAGGATGGGACAGGTCTCAGAGAAGACACTGAACGAGTAGCTTGAAATCCCAGGGAGTTGGCGGACATGGGCCAAAGTTCAAGGATGAGGTCCAGGCCAGTTGCTAAGTGGACAGGGAGATGCAGCAGGGTGTGGAGGGCTTGCTGGGAAAGCAGCAGCTCAGAGAGACAAATGTGGTGACAGGTAGGTGATTCATGCTGAGAGCAACTGGACTCAGAGCACAGCCCAGAAACACTCATTTTTGAGGGCATAACAGAGAAAAAGACATGCAGGGGAGGGCAGAGGAGAGGAGGTAGGGAGAGAAGAACGAGACAGGGTGAGTGGTGGGGAGGAGTGAGCCAAGAATAGGTTCTGGTCCCACCCTTGCTGCTCAGACCCCAGCAGGGTCCAGCCCGCCTCTCTCACCTCTTGACGTTGCTGTGGATGATCTCTAGGCCATGCAGGTACTCAACAGCACAAAGCAGCCCCGAGCAGATGCTGACACGCTGGGGCCAGAGGAGGGGGTCAGAACCACCCTAAGAGAAGGAAAAGCAGGAGGACAAACAGTCACCATGTACCTTTTTAAAGTCCTGATGGCAGGGTCCCAGGCTCCCATCCCTCCTCCCGCCCTTCACGTTCTCTGCCACAGGGCTGAGCATGATACTACAGGCTTTTTCATTTTTTTGTTAGTTTGTTTGTTTTGAGACAGGGTCTTGCTCTGTCACCGAGACTGGAGTGCAGCATTATACCTCACTGTAGCCTTAAAATCCTAAGCTCAAGTGACCCTCCCACCTCAGACTCCTGAGGAGCTGGGACCACAGGCGCATGCCATCACTCCCAACTAATTTTTGTATCTGTCATGGAGACAGGGTTTCGCCATATTGGTCAGGTTGGTCCGGAACGCCTGGGCTCAAGTGATTCACCCACCTTGGCCTCCCAAAGTGCTGGGATTACAGGCATGAGTCATGGGCCTGGCCCTATTCTATGGGTTTTGACATCAGATATATCTAGGTGTAACTACCAATTCAGACATGCACTAGCTGTGTTAATTTTGGGAAAAGAGACTTAACATCTCTGAGCTTCAGTTTCCTTGGGTTTAAAATGGAAATGTTAATACCTACATTTTAGGGTCGCTGTAAGGATTCACAGGAGTATATGGGATACCCCTAGCATAGCACCTGCCACACGTTAGGTGCTCAATCAACAGTTATTTTTATCAAGAGGCTGGTTGGGGTGGGCTAACACCTCTCATTTGCTCCTACTGTTGTTCTAAGGCTGATTCTCCCAGGCTAAATCATCACCATTTTTTTTAAGACAGAGTCTCTTTCTGTCACCCAGGCTGGAGTGCAGTGGTGCGATCTCAGCTCACTGCAACCTCTGCCTCCTGGGTTCAAGTGATTCTCCTGTCTCAGCCTCCTGAGTAGCTCTACTACAGGCATGTGCCATCACACCTGGCTAAGTTTTATATTTTTAGTAGAGACAGGGTTTTACCATATTGGTCAGGTTGGTCTCGAACTTCTGACCTCAAGTGATCCACCCACCTTGGCCTCCCAAAGTGCTGAGATTAGAGGCGTGAGCCACCACGCCTGGCCTCTTCACCTATTTTTTAAGCGCTGGCGTACGTCACACATCCTCTAAGAACTTGCCTGGACAATCCCTGCTAATTTCTTCTCAAAAACTCTAAAACCTAGAGCCAGACAAACCCAGTGTAAGCCCTGGCCTGACATTTGTCCACTGTGTTCCTTTGGGAAAGCCATTTTGTCTCTATGTGTCATAGATTCCTCTTTTGAAAAATGGGGGAAGAAACTGCATTGGTTATGGCACGGCCTGGAGAAGATGACCTGTGTAAAACCCGTATCATGGCAGCCTGCACACAATGAGTACTCAGAGAAGCTAACAATCATTAGGTATGCCATGAATAACTGCTTTGTCTGGTCCTGCCATGAGAAGCAATAATTCTGTTATGGAATAATTCTTTTCCCTCTGTTTGAGGATATGATAAACAGAAGGCCTATTTTGAAACACTGTAATTTGTATTAAGGATTACCTTGACATGACATAATACTCTAATAGTAAGTTTGCTTCTTATCCTGGGCCCCAGCCATCTAGTTCTCCCTAGCAGCAGCCAGTGAACCAGTTTCTTATGTATCTTTCCAGAGATATTCCATAAACACACAAGCAAATATGTATATATTAGAAGAACATTTTATAATAAAAATTCACCTCCACTTTTCCTTACTCTTTACTCTCTTAATTATTTTTCTTGTCCTACTGCACTGGCTAACACCTCCAGAACCACGAAGAACAAAGTTAGTTCTATGAGACACCTTTGTCTTGCTTCTGATTTGAATGAAATGCCTCTCATCAAATAATTTTTTAATAGATTTTTTTCCTGAAGATGTTTAATCAGATCTTTTTGTGCATTTCTCTTTCTTTTTATATGTTGTCATCCTTGTTCAGGGGTTAGGCTGATATTCTCTGTATTGTTCCAATTTTGGTATAGTATGTGCTGCTCAAGTGAGCATTTAACCAGATCTTATGTATCCTGGCCCCGCTTCTCTCCTTAAAGCCTCCCTGGTCTCACCTAGATGGCCCCTCTCCCCTCTGAACTTCCATAAGTCCTTAACGCTTGACTCCATGGCTGGGTGCAGCCTGGTCCCATTCTCTGACCATGACCCAGTAGCTTACCTGACCCTGCAGTCTGTCCTGTAGGGAACCATTTGCCATGTAGGGGTAGATGAAGCTGTGAAACTGTCTTGCAGCACAGAAGCCCAGCACAGGTAAGATATTGGGGTGGCAGCATCTGGAATTGGGCGTCAGTGCAGGGGTGAGAGTCAGACGGAAAGAATGATCTGTTTCCTCATGTACCACCCCTCTTCTGCCCTCTCCTCCTCCAAGGCCACCAGTAACCTCCCAGGTATCACATGCTTTGACCCCTAAGGGCCTGGCCCCAGGGTAAAAAGATGAAAACTGCCTGCCTTCAAGGAGTGTGGTGGTCCTCATCCTGCCTTACTGCTCTGCAGCACGTGAATCCTTAACCGTCCCATCTCCAGAAACATACTGAGAGGTTAAGGGTCTTGCCCAAGGTCACAAACTAGCAAGCAGTGAAGCCAGGACCAGATCCACATCTGTCTGACTCTGGCACTGGTGTTCTTCCTCTTCCACTGGGATCTCAGTCACCATTCTCTCCTGACTCTCCTTCTACCTCTCTGACCACTCTTTCTTGGCCCTTTTCACTAAGACTCCCCTCCTTTGCCTTCCTCTTGCTGCCAGCTGGACTCCTCATCTTGTTTTGTATGTTGCTCCACCAGGTACCTCTCGTTGCTATGAGGAACATTCCCAAATCTCTTATCTCCAGCCCCATCCTAAGCTCCAGACCTGAATGTCAGCTTGCATCCTGATGCTCAGGTTATCATTCTAGCCTCAACAAGTCCCAAACCTGCTTCTTCACCCATATTTATTATCCCAGAAAAGCACATCACCACCCACCCAGTATCCTAGAAACCTTCTTATCTCCTGTATCGAATCAGTCACCATTCACTGCCATAAATAACTTTTTAAATGTCCCCTTATTCCCCTCTCCTCTGCCTTGGGTCACTTAGATTGGGTCAGTCTTTGATTCAATCTCCCCAAGACTATTGTAAGTGGCCTCTTGCCTTATCTCTCCGCCCTCCTCTGTTTCCCCCAAGCCATCCTATTTACTTGCTTTTGCACACTCACTGCAGTTACTTACATGTCAGTCTCCCCACTGGACCATAAACCCCAAGGCAGGGACTATGTATGCGTCCAGCTTACACTCCTTGGAGCCTAGGAAAGGGCTTGACTACTCACATTTTCTGATTCAATGAATTAAGGAGTGACTGCCATCTCCATGAGGGCACTAAGTCACAGTAGAAAGGGAATCACACTTCGGTTTTTATTAGGGGTGTGTGTGTGTGTGTGTGTGTGTGTGTGTACATGTGAGTATTCATATACATGTATGAATAGAGAAAGCATTAGAGAAAACATATCAAAATATGGGCCTGGAACAGTGGCTCCCAAAACCCCAACATTTTCAGAGGCCTAGGCAGGAGGATCACTTGAGCCAGGGAATTCAAAACCAGCCTGGGCAATATAGTGAGACCCTGTCTCTACAAAAAAGTTTTAACAATTAAAAAAGAAAATATATGAAAATATTAAAATAGTAGTGCTTATTTACAGGCGCTGTGGAAAACACATAGTTTCTATTTTGTTATTTATAATTTTCTTTCTTCCTTTTTAAATTTGTTTTACTTTTTAAAATATTTATTTATTTATTTATTTATTTATTTTTGAGTCAGAGTCTTACTGTGTCGCCCAGGCTGGAGTACAGTGGCGCGATCTGGGCTCACTGCAACCTCCACTTCCTGGGCTCGAGCCATTCTTGTGCCTCAGTCTCCTGAGTAGCTGGGCCTATCAGCACATGCCAACATGCCAGGTCTAATTTTTGCATTTTTTTTTTTTAGTAGAGACGAGGTTTCGCCACGTTGGCCAGGCTGGTCTCAGACTCCTGACCTCAACTAACCTTCCCACCTCGGCCTCCTGAAGTGCTGGTATTAGAGGTGTGAGCCACCACACCCGGCCTTTATTCATTTTTGAGACAGGGACTCATTTTGTTGCCCAGGCTGGAGTAGAGTGTCGTGATCTTGCTCACTGCAACTTTCCCCTCCTGGGCTCAAGTGAGCCTCCTACCTCAGCTGCCCGGAAAGCTGGGACTGCAGGCATGTACCACCACACCCAGCTAATTTTTGTATTTTTTGTAGAGATAGAGTTTTGCCAAGTTACCCAAGCTGATCTCAAACTCCTGGGCTTAAGTGACCCACCCACCTCAGCCTCTCAAAATGCCTCTCAAAGTTATGAGTGTAAGCCACTGTACCCAGCCAAAAAAATTTTGTTGTATATATATTTTTTTCAGCTAAGACAGGGTCTCACTATGTTGCCCAAGCTGGTCTCAAACTCCTGGGCTCAAGCAATCCTCTCACCTCAGTGTCAAAGTTCTAGGATTACAGGCACGAACCACTGTGCCCAGTCAATTTTCTTTATTCTTTAACACTGGTTCCTAAACGAACAGGTATTCAATTTTCCTTTTTTTTTTTTTTTCCTGAGACAGAGTTTCACTCTTGTTGTCCAGGCTGGAGTGCAATGGTGCCATTTCAGCTCACTGCAACCTCCACCTCCAGGGTTCAAGTGATTCTCCTGCCTCAGCCTCCTGAGTAGCTGGGATTATAGGTATGCACCACCACATCAGGCTAATTTTGTATTTTTAGTAGAGATGGGGTTTCACCATGTTGGTCAGGCTGGTCTTGAACTCCTGACCTCAGGTGATCCTCCTGCCTCTGCCTCCCAAACTGCTGGGATTACAGGCATAAGCCACCACCCCTGGCCTTCTTTATTTCTTGAAATACCCTACAATATAAGGTGCAAGTGAATTATTTTCAGATGAAAAAAAATTTTTTTTTTTTTTTTTAGACGGAGTTTTACTCATGTTACCCAGGCTGGAGTGCAATGGCGCGATCTCCACTCACCGCAACCTCCGCCTCCTGGGTTCAGGCAATTCTCCTGCCTCAGCCTCCTGAGTAGCTGGGATTACAGGCACGCACCCCCATGCCCAGCTAATTTTTTGTATTTTTGGTAGAGACGGGGTTTCACCATGTTGACCAGGATGGTCTCGATCTCTTGACCTCGTGATCCACCCGCCTCAGCCTCCCAAAGTGCTGGGATTACAGGCTTGAGCCACCGCGCCCAGCGAAAAATATTTTTTTTTAAAAAAAGCACACACATAGCTGGGCACAGTGGCTCACAACTATAATCCTAGCATTTTGGGAGGCCGAGGCAGGAGGATCACTTGAGCCCAGGAGTTCAAGACCAGCCTGGTCAACATAGCGAGATCCCCATCTCCACCAAAAAAAAAAAAAAAAGTTAAATTAGCTGGGTGCAGTGGTGCACACCTGTAGTCCCAGCAACTCAGAGGCTGAGGTGGGAGGATCACAAGCCCAAGAGTTCAAAGCTGCAGTGGGCTGCAGTCATTCCAAAGCCATTTTAGCCTGGGCAATAGAGCAAGAAAAAAAAGAAAAGAAAAAAAAAGTCAGGCAAGGTGGCTCATGTCTGTAATCCCAGCACTTTGAGAGGCCAAAGCAGGAAGATCACTTGAGTTCAGGAGTTTGAGACCATCTGGCCAACATGGCAAAACCCCGTCTCTACCAAAAATACAAAAATTAGCCAGGTGTGGTGGCACACGCCTGTAGTACCAGCTACTCAGGAGGCTGAGGCATGAGGATCACTTGAACCCAGGAGGCAGAGTTTGCAGTGAGCTGAGATCGCACCACTGCACTCCAGCCTGGGTGACAGAGCAAGACTCAGTCTCAAAACAAAACAAAACAAAAAAAAAAGGAGAGAAGCAGATTTCTTCCTGTGTGGAAGGAAGGAGTTGGAGTGAGCCAAGCTTCCTTTATAATTCTCACCTGTGCATGGAATCACTACACAGGAGAAGAATGGACTCTGGAGCCAAACCAGATAGATCCAAATTTTGGCTCTGCCACTTATTAGCTGTGTGACCTTGGATGAGACATTTAACCCCTCTGTGCCTCAGTTTACCCCTCTGTAAAATAATGTGATAATAGTAGCTACATTTATAGGGTTCTTGTAAGGACTAAATGAGTTTATATGTGATAGAGTGTTTAAAACATGCCTGGCACACAGGAAGCACTATATAAGGGTTACCTATCATTATTACTAAACAAAGCATTTTTCAGAGGGGAGGCTTACCTAAGACAAATTTGCAGCTCTGCCTGGAAGAATCTTTCAATTGATCCTGGACTTGAGCAGGCTGTCTGTGGAGAAAGACATCGAAGCATGAATATCCCACCTTAGCCCTGCAGCCTCCACCCCAACTAGAAACCAAAAAGCGCTCACCTCTCTGAGCTTCTTGAAGACAAGTGGCGTCCCATGCCTGTGCCCTCTGTAGACGTCAGCAAAGGTCCCCTGGCTGATTTTGTGGTTTTGATTGAAGTCATCAGTTGCCTGGACCACGTCTGCCTCACTCCAGAAGAGGCTATCTCCAGCCAAGCTCAAAAGTTTTTCCTGTTTAGGAACGGAGGTGCTGAAGTCCTAGAGACTCAGAGAGAAGAGATGGAGATGACTATGGAATCTGGTTTTCTCTGCTACCTCAAGGGATCTTGGAACACTAGAGCTGAAGGGGTGGAGGGGATCAACTTATCCAATGGAAACTGTAAAAAAGATCTGGATAGGCCCAAGCTCAAATCCCAGCTCCATCTCTGTCTTGCTCTGTGACTTTGGGTGAGTGACTTAACCTCTCTGAGCCTCAGTTTTTCTCCAGCAGCAGAAATGAAGATAACAGTAATAGCCGGAAGAGTAATTGTGAAGGCTAAGATGTGAGTACTCTTAGCAAGTGGTTGGTGTTTCCTTTACTTCAGTTTACAGAAGTGAGCACCAAGGAAATAAACAGCTGAAGGGAGGTCACACAGCTGGTCAGTGGGCGAGCTCAGTG